TATATATATATATATATATATATTCAAGGATTAAGAGGTGGTGAGTTACACTTGAATTATTTTAGACTTAGACTGAACCTACATTTCTCTAGTAGAGGTTCTTCATATCGGAACTATATATAAGTAATGTTGTTCAATTCATCAAAAACTAGTATGACTAAGTAACTACTAACTAATATCATTTACAAATATATCAACATTTTCAGTTTAATTTTAAATGACATGCTAATGGTGCCTTAATATTATTTAATTTTAAAGATTAGAAAACTAAAATTAAAAAATTGCAAAACTATTAGATAATTAAAATGGATTTAAGACCGTGGTTTTTTATCCTATTATTCATCATATTATCACTTGTTTTTCTCTATTATTTTTCCTTAAATTTTTATTTCTCTTGTATTTCCACTCCAATCCAACTGATGATGTTGTGGTGGAACATGTCATTACCCATATCAAAACTCCTATCTATCTGGAGTGTTTCCAGCAACAATCCTGCCATTTTTTATTACTACCGGTTGGCCATGGCTTGGAATTGATACATGTATTGCTTTCCGACCACCGTGACAAAGTCATGATCTCCACCATTGTTGCTACGGCCTGTGGGTCGGTGGACGGCACAGCTCCAGAAAAGAGAGTTGCTGCAAGAGAAGGTACAACAAGCTAGAGATTAAGATAGGCATTTCTACATGCTTCTCAAAATATAAGAGTATTAAATCATAAATGAGCGGTTTTTTTTTACCATGATATTGGTAATATAAAGTTAAAAATAATGAAAAAAGAAAAATTGTAAGCAGGCATAAAATGGATATATATTTTTTTTAATTTAGTTTATTCATGTGCATTATTCTAGCGGTAAAACGCCTCAGCTTCCATTTCTTCTGTTTGAAGTAGCCAAAAAACTCCAATGCAATAAAGCTAAAGTCTCATAATAATACTTAAATTACCCTAGTAGTTTTGTTTTTTTTAGTAGATATTTTAATGTTTAGGGGCATTTTTGTCGATCACAAATGTTTAGGTATGTCGCCAATTCTTTTATACAACGAAGACCAAACACTTTGCGCACCAGAGTTTTCAGGAATTGAAGGGGTGATTGACTACTTCTTTGATTTTGGTGTTACCTGACATTGGTGAGTAATTTGAAGTGTTTTGTGATACTTCCCACCAGGGGTTGGGCGGTGTGTTGATGCAGGGAGGGAGAGTAGTGACATATGTTTCAAGGCAACATAAGACTAATGAGAGGAATTATCCTACTCATGATTTGGAGCTTGCAGTTGTGGTGTTTTCCTTGAAGCCGTGGAGGCACTATCTGAATGGTGCGAGATTCAGTGTATTCAGTGATCACAAGAGTTTAAAGTACCTGTTTGATCAGAAGGTGTTGAATATGAGGCAGAGGAGGTGGATGGAATTCCTAAAGGACTTCAATTTCCAGTAGATGTATCATTCTGGGAAGGCGAGTGTGGTAGCAGATGTATTGATTAGGAAATCCATTTATATGTCGGCTATGCTGATTAGGGAGTTGGAGTTGATTGAGCAGTTCAGAGATTTGAGACTAGAGGTGGAGGTTGTTTAAGATCACATTAGTTGTGGTATGATCACCATAACTAATGAGTTCTTGAGACAGGTGGGAACTGAGCATTTACAGGATCTAGAATTGTTGAGAATTTTGGGATTGCTTGGTACCGAGAGGGCAGCTGGTTTTGAGCTTAGTGCTGATGGAGATTCTCGGGTGGAAGTGTGATAGTGTCACTAAAGACTTTGTGATTGGGTTGCCTAGGACAGCTAAGAACAGTGACTATATCTGGGTGATTGTTGGTAGGTTGACAAAGTGTGCGCACTTTCTTCCTGTCAAGAGGTGGTCCTTGGAGAGGCTTGCATAGTTGTATATCAGAGAGATAATACGGTGCATGGAGTGCCTTCTAGTATTATTTCTGACAGAGATCCAAAGTTTACTTCTAGGTTGGCAGACTCTACATCAGGCTTTGGGGACGAGGTTGAGGTTGAGCTCCGCTTATCATCCACAGACAGATGGTAAGTTGAAGAAAACAGTTTAATCACTAGAGGATCTCTTGAGAGCTTGTGTATTGGATCATCTGGGTAGCTGGAAGGAGGTGTTACCATTAGTGGAGTTTACCTACAACAACAGTTATCACTCGAGCACTGGCATGGCGCCTTTTGAGGCTTTGTATGGAAGGAGGTGTAGGATTCTAGTATGTTGGTATCAAGAGGGTGAGTCAGTAGTGGTTAGTCCAGAGTTAGTTCTTTAGACTACTGAGATGGTGAGATAAATTCAGGAAAGGTTGAGGGCTACCCAAAGTCGACAAAAGTCCTAGCTGATAGGAGGAGGAGACCTCTAGAGTTTGAAGAGGGAGAGCATGTGTTTCACGTTTCACAGTTGAGGAAGTACATTAGAGACCCGAGTTAAGTGGTAGAGATGGATGAGGTGCAAGTTAGAGAGAACTTGACCTATGAGAAGAGACCGGTAACTGTGGTTGATCACAAGTTAAAGAAGCTTCGTGGCAAGTCCATCAGCTTGGTGAAGATTCTTTGGGATGCAGCTACTGGTGAGGCTACCTAGGAGTGGAGAGTCAGTTCAAGGAACAGTATCCATTCCTCTTTTCAAGTAAGCCTATTTTCGGGAACGAAAATTTCTATTTGTTGGGGGGTATTGTAACGTAGTAAGTTATTTCAAAAGGCCCAAAAGCCCAATATGGGTGATTTAGTAGCCCAGAACGGGTCGTTCCCAAACTGGAACGGGCCGTTCCAAACCCTAAAACGGGGCATTTTGGAGGGAGTACGGGCCGTTCTGGATGGAGAACGGGTCATTCTGGATGAGTCCCAGAACGGGCCGTTCTGATTTCAGAACGGGCCGTTCTGCATGTGATTTTTATACGTGATAAAGGGGTGCAGAACGAGCCATTCTAGATTCGGAACAGGCCGTTCTGGCCACTCCGGAACTTCTATAAATAGGGGTTGTGTGGTTGAGGAGAAAGTGAAATTTTTAGAGAGAAGTTTTAGAGAGAAGGACTCTAGGTCTGTGAGCTCCTTTCTCTCCTAAAATTCTCTGTATGATTCATTTTCTCCTCTAGATCACTAATGCCTTTTGTATTTTCTTGAAATTCAGATTAGGAAGCTTGCTTTGGGAGGATTGAAGTTCCAGGTTGAGCTTCGGAAGGGAATTTTACTTTTTCTCAGTTATTGGCTATTTTGAGCCAATCTTCAGGTGAGAGAAGCTAGAATATTTTTTGTTTAGGTTGCATGTGAGTTTAGAAACTCAATTGATGCATGAATGTTGAGAATCCATAAATGGATTGAAGAAAATCTCATTTTTTTGGGGTTTTGAGAAAAAGGAGGATTTTGATGATTTTGATGCATAGGTTGGATGCATGTGAGATTTAAGTTTATTTTGAGTTGTATAGAGTCTATGCATTGTGTTTTGTGTTTGCATGTGGCTAGATTTGTTGGTTTGGATGAGAGTTTTGAAACTCTCTGACTGGGTTTAGGCTAGGCGCAGGTTGAGCGCGCTAGGCGTGGAAGAGCTTAGGGCTCTCGGTTGGATGTTGGGACAGGCGTGATTTGGTTGCGTCAGGCGTGAAGACTCCTAGGAGTCTCTGTCTCAAGGACACCGAGCGTGAGTTGAACGTGCCGGGTGTGGATGAGTTTTAGGACTCTCAGGTTAGGATTAGGCTGGGCGAGCTCAGGCTGCGCCGGGCGTGAACATGTTTATGAATAAAATGATGCTAATGGGTGTTAAGTTGAAGTTTTGGATCATGTATGTATGCTGTATGATGTATGTTGAGGTGTGATTCATATGTATGCATAGTGATGATATATATGAATGTTTAAATATGATATAACATGAGTATATGTTCATATGTGTAGAAGTGATGTATTGAGTTATTCTAGGTGTACCGCTTAGGCCGCATGCTAGTGATGAAATGAGATACTCTAGGTATGCTGCTTAGGCTACATGTCAGTGATGAAATGAGCTATTCCAAGTGTGCCGCTTAGGCCGTATACTAGTGATGTATTGAGCTATTCCAGGTGTACCTTGGGTCACTAGTAATGTATTGAGCTATTCTAGGTGTGTCACTTAGGTCGCATGCTAGAGATGTATTAAGCTACTCCAGGTGTACCTTGGGTCACTAGTGATGTATTGAGCTATTCCAGGTGTGTCACTTAGGTCGCATGCCAGAGATGTATTGAACTATTCCAAGTGTACCTTGGGTCACCAATGATGTATTTATGAATAAACGTGCCCCGAGTATGTTGTTGTAGCAACATGCTAGTGATGAAAAATGTGCAACTTCATTAACTTAAAATTTTTATTTTAAGAATATTAGAAGCTTTCTTGAAAGAAGTTGTCTCTACTTTTTTTCTTGATCATCTTTATCCTCATCTTCTACATCAAAATAATTAAATTAAAAAAAATATATGTGGGCCGGCAGGTTGTGGCGGGCCAGCTCGCTATTTGGGCTGGCGGGTTGGCGGGTTAAAATGATGGGCCTGACTTGCCAATTTTTGGCGGGCAACGGGCCGGCCCGCGGGCCACGGCCCACTTTGCCATCCCTAGTAAGAAGCATAACTTTTTCACTTGTAATAATAATAATAAATCGACATACTTTATATCTTAATATATATTTTATTTAAATTAAATTGAGATGGTTATAATTTTGTGCATATATTATTATTAATAGTTTAATAAGAATAATAATTTGGAGAGGGAAGCATGGCCACGTTGAAGGCTAAAGCACCGCGAATGGTATACACCACACAACACTTCGTCAACAATTGTGTTTTGGTTCCGAGAAAATTTGCAATGGCTACTCACTCTGCTGGTAATCTCATAACTCTGCAAAATGCATTCCTATTGTTACTCCGTTCGATTCATTTCATCGTATTCTTCTGTTCGATTTGAATTTTGAAGCCACGGAAAGGACTTACAAAGAAACATTCGATCGTTCTACAAACAAGCGCTACGCAGATAGCCTAATTCCTCACATTCTGCATCTGTAATTTCTCTCTCACTAACTATCCACGTTTTCATCATATTTTGCTTTTTTAATTCCCAAGATATATATGAAACTATTTGGCTAACACAAGTATAGTATTGTATTGGATTGTATTATGTATATATCTGGTATGTTGATTTCAGGTATGGAGCGTGTGCAACGTCTCGCGACTTTGATATCTATGCCGCAGATGCTACCTTTGAGGATCCACTTATGTGTGCACGCGGGTATATATGCTTGCTTGCATTTTTTTTTCTTCATAAAATACACACTAAACATGTCATTTTAATTCATACACGCGTTTTGCAGGGTGAAACAGATCAAATCAGCGTTCTATTCCATTTCCAAGGTTTTTCATTACTCCATTTGTTTCTCGTGCTTTGGATTTTGCACTGTCTTCCTCAATGAATGATAGCGTCATAGTCTTGACATGTAACAAAACTTTGGTGATTGATTGATGCATTAATAAACAAAATTAAATCAAAATGATATTATTATTGTACGAAAGAGTTCAAATAATTGACCGTTCTGGATAAAAATTAACAGCCGTACAACTTAAAATCTATCGTGATCCATATGATATATCCGTGAATTTTGTTGTTACATCTACCATGCTTTACCACAAAGGAATATGTTCAATAGGTCGAGTACTACTTAACCTTGGGAAATGTTTTGTTCAGTTAAGAAATATCTAAATCCTTGTTATATAACCATAAAGGTATCCTTCTGGTGATAAATCGAGAATCGATAAGTCCTCGATGAGGAAATACGTCACAAAATTCATGGCCCAAAATTCAACTTTGACTAGAAAGCGTCAAAGTTGTTGTTGCCCAAGGATTTGGTTCTCGAGGTGTCTTGAACCTTGTTGCCAAAAATGTAACTCACATGTCTCATAAAGATAAAGAGAGGCACCGTGGAAAAAGACCTAAGGGTTCTCACCACAAAAAATCTAGGCCTAAATAAGGTAATTATGTTGTTGATACTAGCACATTTTTCAACAAGGGTTTTGATCCCTTATCAGCCATGGACCTCATTACCCTCTCCTCAATCAACCAAGAAGCACTCTAGAAGATGGGTTTTGAAATGGCTTTAGATACCTTCTGCAACCTTCAAGCACGGTCATGGATCATAACATAATACTTTGGTACTAAGTTGTGCAAAATTGGTGTCAACCCGACGACATCAACAAGTTGATGAAAATTGATTTAGAAGGGAGTTTGTTCCGATATGCCTAAAAGTTTTGCATCTCTTAGGAGTTGAGATCAAAGATAGTTTATAATCACTCTCTTCCTTTAAGCCACCGCGATGCCTTTTTAAGAATAAAATCATGATAGCTTAACGAGTGTCAAAGCAGAAAATACCTTAGACGCGGTGATCCTAATGATGTTAATTGACTTATGGTGGGAACATTAGTTTTAGAAGGAGGGCTTAAGTCACTCTTGCCCCTTAGCTTCAATTGGGAGACTTGTTCCAGTATGTCTAAAAGTTACACATTGCTTGGGAATCAAGGCTAAGGGTACTTTATAAACATCTTCCTCCCTTAACCCACTAAGAGATCTTTTCAAAGATAAAATTGTGATGGCCCAACGAGTGTCAAAGTGGATAATACCTCAAACGCAATGACACTAATGATGTCAACAGACTTATTATCAAAATAAGACTAATGAAGAATTTGAATTTATATAATGAGAACAATTAAAAATTGATTTCACTAACTTTCTCCATGTAAATCCTCTTAAATTTTCATTCAATGTTAGAAAGTATACATTTAATTTAATAGCTCACACTTATATTTAAACTATTTTTTAGGCGATAAATTTTAGATTGTTTATGAAAAATATCAAATTCTTAATAATCTTTGTTAAACAACTTGCGTTAAGGTTAAGGACCAAAAATTAACTCATAAGGCTAATTTTATTTGTAGTAATAAGTGTTATCAGTGTTTTACCAAGATTGTAATTCTAAAAGGGTTTTTCAACCATAATTAAAATTATAAAATCTAGAATTGGTTTATCAAACCACAACAAACATAAAGTATTAAGTAAAATGATTAACTGAATAAAGATATTTTATTGAATAAAACATAGAGAATTATATGAGTACAATAGCTACCTCAATCCCCAAAAGTAAAGACTTAATCGCTCATGAATAAAGATTACACAAGAAAAGAGAGATCTTTGAGCAATCCGTGATTACAAAAATGATCTTGTAAGAACTTTATCTAATCTCTCTAAAATTGTATTCGTAAAAAGTAAGGTACATGACTTCTTTTGAAAACCTAATTTAGTAATTTATAATAACTCAAATGGGCTTTTGCCCAATTATACTCACTCAAAGCGCCCAAATGGCTCGCTAAGTGAGCCATCAATTTTTGGGGGTTGCCTCTAACTTACCTTGCTCGATGAGCTCTTCTTGGTTGCTTTAAAGCAAATTCTTCATTTTGTTGGTTCGCTTAGACCAAGTAGTTGTGTCACTTAAGCAAGTAGTTATGTCACTTAAGCAAGCCAATAGATGCTCCTAATGGTGGTTTTTGTGTAAGCTCGCTCAAAGCGAGTAATAGCGTCACTTTAAGCAAATTCCTTTGAAAAAACTCATTCAAAGCACCTAGTTGGTTAGCTTGGAGTGAGCTTGAGCTAAATCTTCTATATCTTCAAGTTCCCTTATCTTTGTGTTTCAAAACTTTAACAAAGAAAACTATTAAAGGTACCTAAGATTAAACGATTTCATTCTTTAAATAAAATTAACTCTAACTACGTATTGGTGACAAAAAAAAGACTCTGAAAATATAAAATATATTGAATAATTGCCTAAATTAGATAAAAATTATAGACATATTTAACAATTATCAAGAACCAACTTATATTCAAAAGGATGTGAGTTTCATTTCTACTAATATAAAGACATTGTTGATAATTAATCTACAAATATTTCTATAAATACTCATAAAGTTTTGAGGTTTACTTTGTACCTAATAAGCCTTGAAGACTCAAATCACCTAAACTTTTACTTAAAAAAGTATTAACTCAATTCCTTTGTTGATTTTTTATGTAATGTTCTTAGTATCAATTTCTGAATAGCTATACTCAATTTATTAATATTATATTGTAAAAAAAATGCAATAATATTTATGTACGGTTATTATTATAAATTATTGATGAACGTTTATTTATGACACTTTGATTAATTTTGAAATGCAACATCTTTGTTCTATAAAAAATATATATATATTACATCTGATTTTTTAATAAGTAATATAAAATAAATTATCAAGATAAAAAAATTAATTTTATTATTTTTAATTAATCATGTCATAAATTATAATTTTATTCTAAAATACTCTTCGTAGTAATTATTATATTTAATATTAATTATAGGTAAATAAATAGAAAATAGAGTTAGCAATTAGGGATATAAAAAAATTATTTGTTGCTTATAAATTATAATTAGGAAAAGAAATATAATTTGTAGCTTATAATTAAGAGGAGAGGTAGTATTTCTTTTTTATAAGCATAATATTAGTACAAAATATTCAACTCTAAAAGTTAATCTCCATCAAGGACTGTGAACTCATTATACAAGATGAGTACATAATTTATTTTATATTTAAGATTAGGATTCATATATTGAACAACTTAATTAAATAATACAAATTACTATTATTTATGTCAATCAATATTAATAAATAAAAAAAATAAAAAAATAAATTTTCTCCATAGTACATCGTTGAGATAGACTTCTGCATGAGTTGAGATCCAAGATCTTTAGGCGGTGGTAATAAGCTTTCCGGTGAGAGACTAAATTACTGCAAAATGTATACACAAGTCTGTGATATAGATCATCATCACACACATATAAGATTTGGCAGATGGAGATGTATGACATTCTTCTTGATTTTAATTCCTAAAGTCTAAAGATTCGTCTATGGTTATACTTGACTTCTATCACAACGGGTCATTCAATCCTTATTATTCAGACATTATGCCATTAATTGATAAAAGAACAAAGAAGAAAAACATTTTATTCACGTGCTCAAATATGTGTGAATGTAGATAACTGATGGGATTGTTATTTGCATAAAATATACGCATGGTTTTGAATCAATCACGAAAAGGAATCAGGACCTAGTGTTCAAAAAAAAAAAAAAAGTTCCAAGAGCTAGTTGAACACTATATATTATATTTTAATTTACATTTAAAACCTTATAATTTAACACACAAAATTAATTGTTGGAAACTCACTACAAGAAAAGTTTTATTTTCCTGCGAATTTTCTTTAAAAAAAATCACAGAATTTTTTTGCGAAAAATAATTTACAGATATTATTTCTTACAAATTTTGCTACAATTTTAATGATCATAGAAATTTTTTTCATGGTAAAAATTTGTAGAAAATATTGTAAGAATTTTATTTTGTTTCTTGCAGATTTTCTTACGAAAATAAATTCGCAAGTAATGTTTACTAAATGATAGAAAAAATTTGCAGGTAACTTTTCCCGCAAATTTTCCAGCAAATTTTAATCCGCAGGAAAAAAAATATTTAAATTTATAAGTTTAATATTTAAAAAAAAAAACTTCAAGTCCCACATCGATTGAAAATAAAACAATCAAAGAGTATATAAGTTGGGGCAAGACTTGCCTTATAAGTTGATTTGTATGGTTAAGTGTTAGCTTATAATCTACAATCTTAGAATTTAAAAGATTACTTTTGGATGAATTCATTGTGAGCATTTGAAAGTTGAAGAATTATTGATAGAATTTATAGTAATTTTTTTAATTTTTTTCGTAAAAAATATTCCTGCAGAGTTTCCTGCGATTTTTTTTTGCAGGAAAACTTTCCTGCGATTTTTTTTTGCACCTGCAAATTTTTTTGCAGGAAAACTTTCCTGCAATTTTTTTTTGCAGAAAACTTTCCTGCGACTTTTTTCGCAAGAAATTTCGCAGGAAAATTTCCTGCGAATTTTAAAATTTGTAAAAATATATTATCCACGAAGGTATTACCTGCAGATAAAATTTTGTAGTAAAATTTGTAGGAACAACGTTTCCTGCGAATTTTTCATAAAAATTCGCAAGAAAAGTCACATGTAATAAAATAAATTCTAGTAATGACCGTACATATACCGATGATAAATTTTTTTATTAATAACTATGGAGTATATCACAAGTTTCCTTAATGATTAATTATTGTTAAAAAAATTAAATTGATTATCTTTAGAGAGATTTTTTCTTTCAATCACATTTTTTCATACATAAAACTTAAATTTCAAACTTTATTTAAGAAGATTAAATTTGGAACCACTCAAACCATCAACTTGATAATAGTAATGATATAGTAATAATATAAAACTCTTACATTACAAGCAAGGTCTACTTAACTATAAGTGAGACTTAAAACAAATTTTTACTCTTTTTTAAAAGGTATATGTTAGGTC